CATCAACAATGGGTTCGAGATCAAAGAAGTGAGCGAGATATTGAGGAAGCAATACGACTGTTTTCAGCAAGCCACTAAACACACTTAAGATTGCTAACCCAAATGAATTTTTCATGGATATGATACCAACATCAAATCATATATCAGACATCCCCACTGGATTTTGAAGAAGCCATAAACAGTATGCCTATGCACTCTGCCCCAGGCCCTGATTCTTGGAACTCCGTATTCATCAAGAACTGTAAAAAACACTATCGCAGGCCCTTCACATTCTTTGGAGACAAAGCCTAGATACTGGCGTTATCCCTGACATACTAAAAACAGCAGAGATAGCACCACTCCATAAAAAAGGTAATAAGGCAGAGGCAAAAAATTACAGACCGATAGCACTAACATCGCACATCATAAAAATCTTTGAGAGAGTGTGCTAAGAAGTAAGATCACAAAATATATGGAATCACAGCATCTCCATAACCCCGGACAACATGGTTTCAGAACAGGGCTCTCTTGCCTGTCACAGTTGCTGGACCACTATGACATGGCATTAAATGCCATGGTAGACAATCAAAACGCTGATGTAATTTACACAGATTTTGCAAAAGCCTTCGACAAATGTGACCATGGTGTTATTGCACATAAAATGCGTTCAAAAGGAATTACCGGAAAAATAGGCAGATGGATCTACAATTTCCTGACTAACAGAACCCAATGTGTAATAGTCAATAAAATAGAATCCAGCCCATCAACCGTGAAGAGCTCAGTCTCCCAGGGTACTGTGCTTGCTCCAGTACTTTTTCTCATTCTCATATCGGGCATAGACAAGGACACAATCTATATTACTGTATCATCCTTTGCGGATGACATTAGGATTTTTATGAGGGTAGACAACATAGAGGACACTGCAAATCTCCAATCAGATGTAAATCAGGTCTTTCTATGGGCCACTGAAAATAATATGGTGTTTAACGAAGATAAGTTCCAGCTCATGCGCTACGGAAAAAATGAAATTATAAAAATGGAAACCAAGTACAAAACTCGGTCAAATCATAACAGAACGAAAAGGCAATGTAAAGAATTTGGGAACATACTCATGTCGGAAGACCTTACCTTCAAAGAACATAATAAAGAAGTCATCACAACTGCAAGAAAAATGACAGGTTGGATAACTAGAACCTTTCACACTAGAGATGCTAAACCGATGATGATACTTTTCAAGACGCTTGTGCTCTCTAGAGTGGAGAACTGCTGCACAATGACAGCCCCTTTCAAAGCTGGAGAAATTGCTGACCTGGAGAGCGTGCAGAGATCCTTTACTGCTAGAATCCACTCAGTAAAACATCTAAACTACCGGGACCGACTTAAGAGCCTAAATCTATATTCTCTTGAGCGCAGGCAGGAGGGGAAGGGAAGAAATTATCAGGGGAGAGCGCCAAGCCATTACGACTATATAGCACTGGGAAGGGATCAGGATAAGGATTTGGGATGGGACGAGGGGAAAGGAATGGTGCCCAGCCACTTGGACGGTCGGGGAATTGAACGCCATCCTGCATGAGGCGAGGCGTGGAAAATATTAGAGGGGCTGGTCCGAAACCTGCACAGAAATAACATCACATGAGATCAGGAGGCATGGCAGAGGTGCAACAGGTACTCTGAGAGAGAAAACTATCAACATCAGAAGCCTGAGACTGTTCAACACACTTCCACTACACATAAGGGGCATAACTGGCTGACCCCTCACAGTGTTCTAGAGAGAACTGGATAAGCACCTCCAAAGGATACCTGATCAACCAGGCTATGATTCATACGTCAGGCTGCGAGCAGCCACATTAAACAGCCTGGTTGACCAGTCCAGCAACGAGGAGGCCTGATCAATGACCGGACCACGAGGACACTAAGCCCTGGAAACACTCCAAGGTAAGGGCCGCTCATTCAAAGTGGAGGTTGGTGTTGTCTCCACGTCCCGCCCTGTCTCGCGTGGTGTTCCCCAGGGAGTAATTCTCAGCCCGCTATTATTCTCACTTCTTCTGTCTGATCTCCAGGTATTCCGGGGTGTCCTGGTTTTAGCTTGTGCCAATGACGTAACCCTCGTGGTGGATGGTGTCACTCCTGGAGGCACAAGGTTCCCTGCAAGATGCCGTGACTGTGTTCTCTGCAATTGTGCTGGGGAAGGGGCTATTTATTAACCCGGTGAAAAGTTGCGTCATCACCTTCACCTGGACCTGTTAGCTAAACCAGCCCGTGGTGACTGTGGGGGGCTGTCGTCTCCCAATCGCCACAGGACACGGGTGGCTGAGGGTTATTCTAGATGGCCCTCGACTGACGTGGAGGCATCATGTGGATCACCTTTGGGCCTCATGCCTTCGTCATGTAAACATCATGAAACAGCTCTCTGGTGGGGCATGAGGGGCTTCAAGGAAATCGCTCCTAGCTCTCTATAAGGCCTTCATTCGTAGCAAGATCATGTATGCGAGTGAAGTCTACGGATCAGCAGCATCATCGGTCTTGGCAAGGCTGGATCCCATTCAAAATGGTACCCTTCACTCAGCGCTAGGGGATATGCACTCCTCGCCACTTCTCTCTTTCCATGCCAAGTCGGGGTTATGGCCCCTTAGCTTTGAACGTCTTCTCGCCCTCTGCCACCAGCTTCAATGGATAGTGCATCTCCCTGCTACCCATCCATAGTACCCATTGGGGCCTCGTAGCCAGGTGGATAGCGCGCAGGACTCGTAATTCTGTGGCGCGGGTTCGATTCCCGCAGGAGGCAGAAACAAATGGGCAAAGTTTCTTTCACCCTGAATGCCCCTGTTACCTAGCAGTAAATAGGTACCTGGGAGTTAAGTCAGCTGTCACGGGCTGCTTCCTGGGGGTGGAGGCCTGGTCGAGGACCGGGCCGCGGGGACACTAAAAGCCCCGAAATCATCTCAAGATAACCTCAAGATATCCATTTACTCGCCTCCAGCTCAAGGCTAACTGGTGAAATGTGCCGGCCAGACACTCCAGGCGCCGTCAGCTGCCTTTCGTCGTCCGGGACTTGGATGCATACTCACAGTTTTCCCTCCCCGTCCCTGTACTCACCCCTTGGCATCATCCCTTGGCACCGGTCAACATCCGGTGCCTCCATGGGCAGAAGAGCTCATTCGGGTTTCTGTGAACTTTTCCAAGCCTCTTCGTCGGAAGAGGGATTTAGAGGGTCTGGGCCCCTTTAATTTTTGCAGACCTATGAGCCTCCTTATACCCTGGATACTTGGGGTTTACAAGGATGGGTCCCGCAAAGATCCGTCACCATCCACATCTACGGCAGCATACTTTGCTCCTTTTTCCTTCTGTCAGACATGAAAGCTCTCCCATGCTCATTAGTGCCTGGCCGGGAACTGTTTGCAATCTTACTAGGCTTACAACTACGACAAGTTTCAGGGCCCTCTGCGGTCTTTTTCTATGTGGACTTAGTTACAGCCCTACATCTAATATCATCTCAGCGTCCATGAGTACATTGTCATATTGTGTCACAGATCCGTGGAGAACTGCTGCCATACTCTGGTACTCTGGGTTGGTCAATCTATTTCCAATGGGTTTCATCGCATGTCAGTTTTAATGGTAATGAGGCGGCCAATGCAGCAGCAAGGATGGTGCATGGTCTCCATGACTCTACATATGTGCCTCTGGATCTTTCTGAAATTCTGCAACTCCGGACGGCTTGCCTCGCGAGTTGGGAAGCAGTGATGGCGCCAACATTCAGGTCCTCCTCTCTGGCAGGTCTCCAGGAGGGCTCCTCCCCGCGTCCATGGACTCGTCATCATTCTCGACTCCTCGACATGGCCATCACTCGTCTCCGGATTGGGCACACCTGCCTGGCTGCACATCTGTATCTTCTACGACTGGTAGATTCCCCATACTGCCAGTGGTGTCCGACCCAGGATACAATGGAACACCTTTTCACAGCCCAAGATTTCATAGCGCTCGCATCAGACTATTGAGTGCCGTCCGTAGGCAGAATATTCCCCGCCTCACGGTTCCTGTCCTCGTTGACGGGGCAGGTGCGAGAGATGAAGACGTCCGATATGACATCCTTCACCATACCTTCCACTTAATCTGTCTTGTTTCGTGGCCTGATGAGACTGTACAGTATGTGCCCTGAAGAGATTGTAGGGTCTGTGGCCTGAAGAGACTACAGAATAGGGACCCCATCCCTCTGTTATTTCCCGGTATCAGGCAGCCAGTGCGCATCCGATCCCTTGATCGTCGTCGCCCCTAAATCAACAGCAACAACATACACCTGGTAGTGGAACATGGACAGCCTCTTTAAAATGATAAAATTAGAATGAGGACACAGGTGAAAACTAGGAACACAAATGAGTTGAAGATTTTTTTTTTAATTTCTATAACATACTCTCTATGACATACAGGAGCCTGACAGCTGAGTGGACAGTGCTCGGGATTCGTGGTCCTGAAGTTCCGAGTTCGATCCCCGGTGGAGTGGGTAACAAATGGGCAGAGTTTCTTTCACCCTGATGTTCCTGCACATCTAGCAGTAAATAGGTACCTGGGAGTTAAACAGCTGCTACAGGCTGCTTCCTGGGGTGTGTGTAACAAAAAAGAGGCCTGGTCGAGGACTGGGCAGTGGGGACGCTAAGCCCCGAAATCATCTCAAGATAACCTACTCTCACCCTGCAGGGGGTGGGTGTTGCGGGTGTGAGATTGAGGGGAAAATATTCTCAAAGGCCAAGCAAATCTCTCCTGGACAGGATCCCCAAACCCTTGCGTGGGTGAAGCGGCTCAATAGAAACAAATACAGAGCGCACCTGGGGAAGTATTACAACCTGAATTTACATGAGGGTCACCATCTCTAGTGGCCTCGACAGGGTCACAAAGCTAGCAGGTTGTCAAAGGTCCCCCATTATAAATCGTACTCATATGCATATCTTTCCCCATTTCATTCTCTCTGGATACATGAATGACATGAAATACGGTCAATATATGACAACAAACTCTCTAGGACATACCTGAGTGTTGACCACATATCATAACACATAACGTTGAGCCAGAAGAACGTCGCCAGACTGCATACATGACCAATAAATGCTGAGGGGAAGAAAATATTTCCAGAATTACTAATTTTGTTCTAAAATCACGATAAAAAGGCTTTACATTTAGTGTGAATACAAAAATAAACAAACATTGGCCTGAGGTAGTCATGGGGAAGTTGGCACTGATTGAATGATGAAGATTAAGCCACCCAAGAGGTGGCACAGGTATTTTAAGTGGTAGATATTACGACTTACGGGCTGGCATCAAAGCGGAATGGGATTAAAGAGAATTTAAGAGTCTGGAAGAGAGAAAGAGAGAGAGAGAGAGAGAGAGAGAGAGAGAGAGAGAGAGAGAGAGAGAGAGAGAGAGAGAGAGAGAGAGAGAGAGAGAGAGAGAGAGAGGGGGGGGGTAGGTAACAGAGTGTGGAAGTGAGAGAAAGTAAGAGTGAGGAAATGAAAGAAAATTTTACCATATCTCATTTAGTTTTAAGTATTATCCCACTACACATTATCATTTTGTCTTAATCAGCAAAAATCTGCAATCAGTACTATAGCAAACTCTATCTTCAGACAGCACCCAGCTCCTCTATTTAAGTCCCTTAACATGCTAAACATAAACTTCACACATTTTCATGTGCTATCTACATGTACAAAACCTTGTTCCTAAATACTAATTTTGATCTGAAACCTTTCCTTGATAGGTGTAATAGAACCCATGAGCACCTCACCAGAAATGAATATCTCTCTGATACCCCCAGAGGCAGACTAAATCTGTGCAAACACTAAATACAAATACCCTGATGAATTAAAAAATTGTCTATCCCATGCCCTGTTCAAAAGTAAAATAAAAAAGTACCTAATTTCATCCTCATAGTTTCCTATATATATATATATATATATATATATATATATATATATATATATATATATATATATATATATATATATATATATATATATATATATATATATATATTAGTATATTTTGGTAGCAGTCTTTCTTGTAAACATATGTTGTTAAATATGACCGAAAAAGTAAGATTAATAATTCTAACACGAATTTTCTCAATATTTCTTATGTTTCTTTTTACTGTCGATGGTAACTGAAAAATCAATTCTCCAAAATTCATTTTTATTTCTAGTCTGCGCGACGCTTGAACGCGTTTCATAATAACTTATTACATTTTCAAAGACTTTAGTTTAGTTTACACACACAACTGTAACCTGAAAACACTAAACAGAGATTTACTTATGCTAACACTAAACAGCTTATATACTCGTACTTGGGTGAGGTGATATGTTGCAACAGTTTTGGATGAGGTGAACAAACTTTTGACAAACACAAGACAGAACATGGAACAATGGGTATTAATTGGATATATGAGAGCATAAGAATGGAAGTAACTGCAAAGAGCCTATTGGCCCATACTTCCTCTTGATGCTTCTGTATTGGTACGGAGTCTTGAAGTGGGTAGAATATAGTTGTGCATTAATTGGCTGTTGATTGCTGGTGTTGACTTTTTGATGTGTAGTGCCTCGCAGATGTCAAGCCGCCTGCTATTGCTGTACCTATCGATGATTTCTGTGTTGTTTGTTAAGACTTCTCTGGTGATGTTCTGGTTGTGGGAAGAGATTATATGTTCCTTAATGGAGCCCTGTTGCTTATGCATTGTTAATCGCATGGAAAGAGATGCTGTTGTCTTGCCTATATACTAAGTTCTTTGGGGCTTACAGTCCCCAAGTGGGCATTTGATGGCATAGACGACGTTGGTCTCCTTTAAGGCGTTCTGCTTTGTGTCTTAAGAGTTTTTCATGAGTAGAGTGGCCGTTTTTTGGGTTTTATAGTAAATCGTCAATTGTATCTTCTGATTTTATAAAATCAGAAGATACAATTGACGATTTTATTGATTGATTTGATTAAATCAATAAATTGATTGATTTATTAAAATCAGAAGATACTATTAACGATTTACTATAAAACCAAAAAAACGGCCAACCTACTCATGAAAAACTCTCCAGACACAAAGCAAACGCCTTAAAGGAGACCAACGTCGTCTATGCCTTTAAATGCCCACTTGGGGACTGTAAGCCCCAAAGAACTCAGTATATAGGCAAGACAACAACATTTTATTTTTTTAATTTTGCCCCGAGGGGCGAGTTTATTGGGCAGCGCCACTCATCTTGTGAGTGGACACACCGCCATAGCAGCATGTACAACACTCCCCAAAAGGAAGATAACCCGCTGGGTTGTTCATCCTGTCACTTGTACCCAGACACAGCTGGGACTTGCTTAACTGTCTCAAGTGAATAGCTCCTCAAACAAGAAGATTGACATCTGTCAACCCTTAGATGGAATTACTGGTGTCGATTCCACTTTGCCTCAGATCTACAAGATCTTGTTGAAGTTCTCGGCGTACTGCTGCTCTCAGATTGTTCATTGACAATCCAAGGTTACACTCAACGTCTCCTTTAAAGGCAGATTCTTTGGCTAACTTATCAGCTCTATCATGCATTCGGAGGCCAACATGAGATGGAGACCACATGAAATGGTATAAATGGTATAATCAATGTACCAACGATGTGTCAATATTTCATTCAAAATGATCTGCTACCAGAAATTTTAGCCAAATATCCCCAGTTTGGTAACTGTAGGTAGTAACTAAGAGTGATAGTAACCTCTCCACCACTGCCCACTGGATGGGGGGCGGTGTGCAGGACAAACATATAAATTGGGACACTAGCTCTCCACATATGTCAGTTGCTTAATTTAGAAACTGTACTTGTGGTCGATCTCGAACTCATTGTTGATGTGAAGACTTATACTGAATTTTGTAACTAGCTCATCAAGATTGCAACTTGCTTAGCTAAATGAATTGTGAGGTTCAGTCCCTGAGCCCATTATGTGCCTCTGTAACCCTTTCCACTACCGCCCACAAGATGGGTATGGGGTGCATAATAAATGAACTAAACTAAACTGTCAACCCTTAAAAGCTTACGTTATCTTGCGGGTGCAAAATGGGGGAATCTTTAAAGAACAGTATCAATACAGTATTTGACAAATAGTGTTTTCCTAACTCAAACAATGTGGGGTTCAGTATTATACACATATTTCGAATGCCTCTCAGGTGTTTACATTCACGTTGATCGTGGTCAAGGCGGTGTCCGTCACTCTCATCACAAATTCTGCAACTTCGCTTATCAACAGTCGTTCCCTTTCCGTATCTCCATGGATATTTATATCCCAGACGGATTCTCGCTATTGCTGATTCTTTCCCGCGTCCTCCTCCTATTCGTCTATAATGATTGGGATTGCCAGCTGCAACCATGTTGTACCAGCGTACAGATTCACTGGTTTGTGCTTCTATCCTCCTTTCCTCAGTTACCTTGTCACGGTGATGTTGCCTGACAATACCTCTAATTTGTAGTAGAGTCTTGGGTATGAAGTATTCAATATGGTCTCCTTCAGCAGCCAGCACATCTGCTCGTTCATTCCCACATATGGGAGGATCCCATATGTGGGAATGTGGATCCATTTCTGTGGATCCCATGGGAGGGGATCCACAGAAACTTGACGACTCTTCCCTGATTGGTAAGTACTCTCACAGCTCTCTTAATTTCAGCGACTATTGCAAGATTTTCTGCCCGATTTTTACTTAGGCTTTGCAGTGCTGTTTTTGAATCGGTGCAAATCACTACACCATTAGTGTTCCGTTCAAGAAACCTTAACGCCATAACAATGGCAGTTAGCTCTGCTTGCGTTGAAGAGGCATAGTTCTCAATACGCGCTTTTTCTTCATTTCTGCGTTGGAAAGTATTATCCTTGATTACCGTGTATGCTGCACCAGCCCTGCCATTGACAGGATTAGATGACCCGTCAGTGTAGATTTGATCTAGTTCATCTCCGGCTTCTTTATAAATTTCCTCGAGATACTTGTGCCTCATTTCTTGTGGTAACCTGTTGGATTTTTTCGTTGCCATTTCATTGATGATAATCTTGCATGAGTCATCCTCCCAGGGAGGTAACCTCTCTACAGGCAGGAGCTCACGGGCTTGCTCAAGCAGGTGAAGTTCTTCTAGGTAGCAGACTGATCTATGATGCCATTTTTTGCTTCTCCTGTTTCCCCCTGAAAGTAGCACAGAACTCAGTTTTTTCTTAGCAATATGGGGATCTCTGGTTATCCTAATTGCAAGCTTAGCATTCAGCTCCTTATTTCTGCTTTTAACACTGGGGAGGGACAACTCCTCTCGTAGATTAGACGTTATGGCAGTTCTTGGAACTCCAAGAATGATTGTCATGGCTTCATTTTGAATGTTTTCAAGCCTTTTCATATCGCTTTGGGAGGTGTACAGAACTGGTGCGGCATAGTCTATGACGGAGCGCACATAGGCTGTGTACATCATTTTAAGCACGGCAATAGAGGCTCCATGTCCATCCAGGTCATAGCTTTCAGTGCCCTGAGTCGACTTTTGCATGTTCCTATGAGTTGATTGAGCTCCTCTTTCTTCCCCTTGTTAGAGCCGACAGTGACGCCAAGGTACCGATAGTGGTCAACCCATTCAAGTGTTACACCATTAATTTACAGTTCTTCATTTACAACAACATCTCTTTCCAGGCGATTAACAATGCATAAGCAACAGGGCTCCATTAAGGAACATATAATCTCTTCCCACAACCAGACCATCACCAGAGAAGTCTTAACAAACAACACAGAAATCATCGATAGATACAGCGATAGCAGGCGGCTTGACATCTGCGAGGCACTACACATCAAAAAGTCAACACCAGCAATCAACAGCCAATTAATGCACAACTATATTCTACCCACTTCAAGACTCCGTACCAATATAGAAGCATCAAGAGGAAGTATGGGCCAATAGGCTCTTTGCAGTTACTTCCATTCTTATGCTCTCATATATCCAATTAATACCCATTGTTCCATGTTCTATCTTGTGTTTGTCAAAAGTTTGTTCACCTCATCCAAAAACTGTTGCAACATATCACCTCACCCAAGTGCAAGTATATAAGACGGATAAGCTGTTTAGTGTTAGCATAAGTAAAACTCTGTTTAGTGTTTTCAGGTTACAGTTGTGTGTGTAAACTAAAGTCTTTGAAAATGTAATAAGTTATTACGAAACGCGTTCAAGCGTCAGACTAGAAATAAAAATGAATTTTGGAGAATTGATTTTTCAGTTACCATCGACAGTAAAAAGAAACATAAGAAATATTGAGAAAATTCGTGTTAGAATTATTAATCTTACTTTTTCGGTCATATATATATATATATATATATATATATATATATATATATATATATATATATATATATATATATATATATACATATATATACATATATATATAACTATGCATTTCTACAGCTTCCAGCCAAATATCCCCAGTTTGCAAACTGTAGGTAGTAACTAAGTGATTGTAACCTCTCCACCGCTGCCCACTGGATGGGGGGCGGTGTGCAGGACAAACATATCAATTGTGACACTAGCTCTCCACATATGTCAGTTGCTTAATTTAAAAATTGTACTTGTGGTCGATCTCGAACCCATTGTTGATGTGACGACTTATATTGAATTTTGTAACTAGCTCATCAAGATTGTAACTTGCTTAGCTAAATGAATTGTGAGGTTCAGTCCCTGAGCCCATTATGTGCCTCTGTAACCTTTTCCACTACCGCCCACAAGATGGGTATGGGGTGCATAATAAATGAACTAAACTAACTAACTTCTTTCCAATAGTTTGGGAATCATAAAGATCATGGCTCTGTCACTGACAAAATTAACAAACTAATTTGCAGTAATAGGAAGGTCACGTTGAAGACTCTTCTTACCTCTTATGATGCACTGGGTGTCGGACTGCTCCCTCACTTGGTTATTGATGATGAGGGTGATGTACGTGGACAACATGGCGGCCACCATAGATATGAGACAGCGTCCGTATGTGCGGTCTCTAAGCTCTGCCACACCCATATACACGCCAAGGGTAATTGCTAGAAACACACACGATATTCCCAGCAACACTACGTCGACAATCGTCTTCCAGGAGCAGGTGTCTTCATTTGTACACAACATGGCGCCCTCCATAATCGTACCATTTTCAGTCAGGAAAGAGTCAACGCAGTAATGGGTTGATGGGTAGCTGGTCTGGTGCTTAGGAATATGGAGGGAGCCATTTTCTAACAGGTAGAATTTATCATCATCTATTCTGAGTGGGTCCAGTTGATAAAAAGTACTACAAAGTGGATTTCCGGTCACCAAAGTCCACTTTTCTGCTGCTAACTTAACTGATGTTAGTTTTTCTTGTAAGATATGGAAAGAAGGTTCCCATATCTCTTCTACCTGAGCTGCCATTATACATTGTGGGATCAATATAATTTCATTCTTGGCACAGCATTTTCTAACACAAGTATTGTTACTACATGTCAGCTGGTGGTGCTTAACTAGATCTACATAGCAGAACTTGGCAATATACTGTGCATCATTGTTTTTATCAAGTTCCATACCTACACAGTAATTTTGTTCAAATTGTTTTTGATCAGGCCAGAATAAGGGCGTCCATCTCAACAATGTCCCCGATACGCTGTACATGAGCTCCCCTTCTTGAGTATTAAGGTATAGACGGCGAACAACTGGTATTCCATCACATGTAACATTTTTAACATTACCATCTACATCTTTCCACGGCACAAGATCGTTATTAAATAATATCGGCGGCGCAAAGGTGTGCCGATTGCTGCTGGGGACACAAGAGTCGTCAGGAGCCAGGAGGTGTCCTGGGGGGCAGCACTGAGGTACTTGAGGAGGAGGCAGGCAAATATGAGCTACTTGGTGTAGTTCTTCACCGCGTACCAAATGCTCGATACAGTACTCTCCGAGAACCTTACTTCCATCTACCCAAACCATTTGTCCAGCAAATAAAACAAAATCGTTTGTAGCTATGTTCAAGGTCACACGTTCGGTGCCATTGTCACACTTAACATCTTCTATGCGAACGCTGCTAAAATCGCTTGTCTTGACCAAGACTGATGTTTTGTTTGCTGGATTATACACGACTACTTCAGTTGATTTTCTTCTACAACCAGAACCATCCAGCACATTATTTTTCTCACAGCGACATTTCCGAAGTGTGAAATTTAAAAAGTCGGTGTTCTGAGGAGGCAACGTGACTGGCGAGGCAGCATGTGCCTGGGTAGATGAGGCAACAAGTTCCAGAATAGATAAGGCAACAAGTGACTCAGTAGATGAGGCAGTAGGTGGCTGGGTAGACGAAGCAAATACCTCGGTAGATGAAAAAGCAAGTGATTGGGTAGATAAGGCAGCATGTGTCTGGGTAGAGGTTGCAACACAAGCTCTCCACGCTGCCACAAGGATCACCGTTGCCACCACCTCAACATTCATCAAACTCCACAGACCCATGGTATTGTGCTACCTTGAGGTTAACATGACATATCTATCAGGATCGATCAGTGTTCCCACATCCCAATCTCTAACCAGGCTCCTTGGATGATGCTCTAGTCGACCAGTCTTTAAACGCCGCTTTACGCAGTCTGACGTGAAAATCACAGCCCTGTGGATCAGGTGTCCTTTGGAAGTGTTTACAGCCAACCACTCAGTGTGTACTGTAACAATATTTCATACAGAGGCATCAACACACCTGAAAACAAGGAAAAATAATATTTATATTATATATATATAATATATATATTTAATTATATTACAAATCAACTATGCATAGTGAACATAAAAAAGAAGAAAGAATAATGAAGGAAATAATTCGTAAAGGAATAAAAAGCACTATTCCTGACCAAAACATAGACCTGATCATATTCTATAAAACAATATCCAACTCTGGCCCCAGACATCACTCGGTTCCCCTACTCAAATCTGTGAATATGTTAGATATTAAGTCACTGCACATCCTCTCATGTGTATTATATTTTATATATTATATATTATATATATATATATATATATTATATTATATATATATTATATTATATTATATATATATATATATATATATATATATATATATATATATATATATATATATATATATATATATATATATATATGTGTGTATATCACGAAAATAAACACGTGATTAAGAATGTGACAATGTCAGACCACGGAGGAAAATGAAACAGGAATTTCCTTAAGTACTTTCGTATATTAAATACATCTTCAGAAGGAATGATTTCACAGATCGAGTGATGGGTATAAATAGGCAGGAGAGAGTGGTGAAGTGAGGTGAGGTACAATACTTGGAAAACGCAGACGGCCCATTGGCCCATCAGATGCACCCAATTGGCCCATCTGATACAGCAGACATACAAGCACAATACATAGGTAATTATAACATAAAGAGGTAAATATATACAATGAATTAGTGAGACAAATGTTTTCCAATGATCCTACTTAAATCGCCCTTTAGCTGATCTATTAGAAATGGATCTAAGTTATATAGACCACTGCTAATATTCAAATTACTTTCTTTGGTGATCTGTATCAAAGCAGATTCAATTATGTTTCTGTTATAGGTGCTTTTACAATTTGTTATTGAAGAAGCACTCTCCCAATCAATTTGGTGAGCTTTTTCTGACAAATGAACAAACAAAGCATTAGACCATGTCTTACAGAGTATTTATGTTGCGATATTCTACATTTTAAATCTTTAGATGTTTGCCCGACATAGAACTTATTACATTCCTTACAAGGTATTTTATAAATGACGCAATTATCACTACGAGGGCTGTTCCTAACTAATAGCTTACCAACAGTGTTTTCGTAGCTAAACATTACATCTATATTAAAAAGTTTCAAGGCCTTGACAATATTCTCAAACCCAGAGAAATATGGTAAACATAACACATTCTTTGGGCGAATCCTTTCACTGCATACATTATTATAATATGTACGACGTGCTTTGTTACCTTGTATGTGGTAAGGATCTCATGGAAAAGGTGGGAATTTTCTTGGCGGGCCTAGATGAATTGTCGATAGTTAAAACAATTAAAAGTGCCGAACATATGTTAGATAAATATTCAGTGGAGGCAGGTAAGCCAATTAATAGCATGGTGGCAAAAAATCACCTGAAAAGTGGGGCTTCACCTAAATTTTTTCAATGCAAGAACAGTTCCGTTTCATTTCAAGCAACTGGTAGAATCAGCCCGGGAAAGGCATGTGGCAGAAGGCATCTTAGAGCCAATTACACACAGTGAGTGGGCAGCCCCAATTGTACCAGTGTTGAAGGCAGATCGGAAATCCATGAGAATCTGTGCAGATTTCAATGAATTAAACAACCGCATACACTGTGAGAAGTTCCCTTTACCTAAGATAGATGAGTTGTTGTCAGTGGTCTGCAAGGCGGCAATCTTTTCTAAGATTGACAAAGATGCCTACTTGCAAATTCCTGTAGAGGAGGAGAACCAGGAATTGTTAGTGATTAATACCCACAAGGGGTTATTTAAGTATAAAAGACTTCCTTTTGCACTATCCTCGTCTCCAGCAATTTTTCAGAGATTCATGTCCCAGTTGTTAGTAAACATTGAAGGTGTGGCTAGCTTTTTAGATGACATTATTATATGCTGGGAGAATGAGGAAGAGTATGATGCTAGATTAGAACAGGTTTTGAATCTCCTGCAAGAGCACAACGTGAAGATTAATAAGAGTAAAGCAACATTGAAGACCAAGGCCATTGAATACCTGGGAAACCATATTTCAGGTAAGGGCTTTACTCCTTCTCACAAAAATGTAGCTGCTATAGTAGATGCCCCAGCCCCAACATCAGTTAGGGGAAGTACAGTCTTTTGTAGGGATGGTCACATATTTTTCTAAGTTCGTGAAAAACTTTTCAACAAAATTAGCACCCCTTGTATGAATTGTTAAAGATTTAAGGGCTAGATTTAAGTGGGCAGCAAGAGGGGAGAATGCCTTCAGGAATATTAAGCAGGAATTGATAAATTCTCCAGTGCTCACTAATTTTACTGGTAGACTCCCTTTAAAACTGGAGGTAGATGCTTCCCCAGTAGGAGTGGGGTGTGTATTATTACAGGAAGTCGATGGTCAGGATAAAGTAGTATATTTTGCTGGCAAGAAATTATCTCCTGCAGAACAGAATTATTGTAAGTTAGATAAAGAAGCCTTAGCTTTGGTATATGCTGTAAAAAAAACTGAGGTATTTTCTGCTGGGTAGGAAATGTCTTGCTAGAACAGACCATAAACCCCTGCTAGGATTGTTTGGCAGAGGTAAACAAATTCCAGTTAATGCCAATGCTAGAATTCAAAGATGGGCATTACTACTCTCGCAGTTTGAGTATGATTTAGAGTTTAAGCCAGGCAAGGATATTATAGTAGCTGATGCATTAAGTAGATTGCCTGTGACAGAAGAATTGAATTCCAGTATTCCAGTGGAGTATGTTAACCTGGTGGAATCTATGTCTTTTGAGGATATTTCATTCCAGACGATTAGGAAGGCAACTGGTAGAAATTCCAAATTAAATCTGTTGATGAAGTATGTCAAATATGGTTGGAAAGATAACTTATTATTGTCAGAGTATGCTGCAGTGAAGGCTGACCTTAGTATTCACCAGGATATACTCTTGTATAGGAATAGAGTGGTGGTGCCTGGGGAACTAAGATGTAAGATTTTGGAACAGCTGCATGTAGGCCATAATGGCATAAATGTTATGAAAGCAGAAGATAGAAGTTGGGTTTGGTTGCCAAAAATAGTCCAGGATATTGCTGAGGTAACAAAAAATTGTCATATTTGCTTTAATGCATTATTCTACGAACGTTCGGAAGGTGGGGCTTGGAGCCTGGATCGACCCCCTGCAAGCACAACTAGGTGAGTACACACAGGTCCTCGCTGCTGAGAGGACAACTCTCCGGGGTCGTAGTCAAAAGGCTCCGGACTCGTTTCCCGGCCGAAGCAGAAATAAATGAGCAGGTTTTTCACCCGATGCCTTTATTCACCTAGCAATAAATAGGTAACAAGGGGTTAAACAGCTGCTACGGGTTGCATCCTGGGGATGTGCATGTATGTGTGGAAGATAAATGTGAGTAGTAAATATGAGAGTAAATTAAATCAGAACTCAGTACATTAGACAAACGATGGTTAGAAAGGCGGGGCCCAAGAACATACACACACACGCACATGGCCTGAGAGTCAGACGCTTTTTCTTTACTTTGGATTAAAGGATGAAGTCAATTAAATAACAAATCAACTATGAGAACTGAGGCAGCCATACTTTTCAAACTTAAGCACCACAATGTTACAGCATCAAGAATGCATAACTCACACCTTCACCACCAAACAGATATTGCGTATATGAATTAACCACAAGGTCTGAGACCTCAACAAAAACTTGTCCAACCCCTCAGGGAACAACATCACATTCCCTGACAAGGCAGCTGCTTCAGCCTCTCCTGTGAGACTCTTGCTCCTTGAAGTTGTAGATGGAGGTGACTTCCACAACTACTTGCAGTTCACTCCACTTGTTGACCACCCGTACAGCTCCCTGCAAACACAAACCAAAACTGTCTCTATTTTCCGCTTGTTACAACTTGTAATAAAGTTGGTACATCTTGGCTTAAAGTGTTTATGACGTATTAGAACGTTGATACAACTTGCTATATTGGTTGTTATAACTGGTTAGGAGGTGTTAAAACTTGTTCGAACGTTGTACCAACGTCGTAGTTTCGGTGTGTGTTTGGCGGGAGGGTACCAGCATTTCCTTACATTTCTTCGACTCATTTGCTTCCAAGCTTCACTTATGACCTCTCATCCTACTTTCTCTCAATTTAAAGAAGCTGTCCTTGCCTCCGTGGTATCTTTGTTGTGACTATATCCCCTTTGTTTCTTTTGCCTTCACGGGTTGTGAGGCCCAATTTTCTTAACTTAGCCTCATAACTTAACCCACTTACCTCTGGCACTAATCTTGTGCAAATATATGAACTTTTCCAGTAGTTTTATGCTTCACAAGGTACGAATTCCAGGCCGGTGATGCATATTCCAGCATTAGTCTAATAAAAGTTGTGCGCATTTCCTTGAAAAGAGTCATGATTTTTCTAAACGACATTTTAACATTTTCCAACGTGCCATATCCTGCTGATGTTATCCTGTTCATATGTGCCTCTCGTATTAGTATTGGAATTATATCCAGTCCCATATATCTTTCTCCGATTCTTGTAGTTGCCCTTTCCTTATAGAGTCGATATGTTTTGGTCTCATTTCTCCCTTCCCCATCTTCACTGCCTTGCCACAACCAAGGTAGACTGACTCCACAAACAAGGATATAGATACTATTAAAACCTGATATAAGTGAACCATCAGCAGCCGGAAACATGAGATGACGATGCCGCAAGAGAAGCTCCCGCCTCCTTCCAAACACCCGAGAAGTAGCTAACATCGTCATGGGTCATGTTGGTACACCATTACCTTCGTCGTGCTCGGCACTGTACACCTCACCCAAGTCCTTAAGGTCAACAATTAAGATCATCACTGCTGGGAATGCTGAAGATGCAACCTTTCACCTTCGCTCCTAATAATGCTGAGGTTGGAGTCTTTCATCTTTACTTCTGGTAATGCTCAAGCTGGAACGCTTCACTTTCACTGTTGATAATGCTGAAGCATGATCATTTCTGTGATAGCTA